GGGACTGTGGGTCGGACGGGCGCCGCCGCCACCGCCGCCGCCGACGACGACGACGACGACGACGCCGCCGACGACGACGCCGACGGCGACGACGACGACGAGGCCAACGACGACGACGACGCCGACGACGACGAGGCCGACGACGACGACGCCGACGACGAGGCCGGCGACGACGACGCCGATGACGAGGACGAGGACGACGACGACGACGACGAGGCTGACGCCGACGCCGAAGCCGACGCTTAGGAATAGCACATATATAGACACTAGGGTATGCAGGCCTTCGCCAAAAAATTGAATGTACATTGTGTGTTGAACCTCTCACGCTTGCGACCCTATCCCGAAGAATAGCCACTGCAGTGTGCGCGATGGCGGTTGCGAAGGTAGTTTCATGGTCATGTCGCTGTCCCCGATCCGAGCCTTCCGCCTCAAGGGGCCCCTAGGAAGCCCCAAGAGGCGCCCAAGAGGCGCCCAAGAGGCCCCCAAGAGGCCCCCAATGGGCTCCAAAACTGCCTCCAAGAGGCCCCCGAGAGGCCCCAAAGCTGCCTCCAAGAGGCCCCCCACGAGATTCCAACGAACATACACTGTGCTTATAACCCACAACCCAGGCACGGTGGCGGGACTTGCTGTAGGCAGCTGGATCCGCCGCCCCCTGCTTGCAGGGGTGCACGGCGTGCTGGACGAGCTGTTAGGTTTTGGTTTTGGTTCTTTTTCCAAAAGAACTCCCCAGTGGGCTCCGGCAGAACCCGCCACCGTGCGCAAAAACGGCCGTTTCGCTCGGGACATCCTCAAAAAATCGCGAAGATGGCCCAAGATGGCCTCCAAGTCCGCCCGAGATGGTCCAAGACGGCCTCCAAAACGGCCCAAGAGAGTCCAAGACGGCCCAAGACGGCCCAAGAGGCCCCCCAGAGGCCTCCCAGACGGCCCAAGAGGCCTCCAAGAGGTCCTCCAGGAGAGTCCGAAGAGGGCAAAATCATTGATTTTCCCTTGGTTTTTGAAGGATTTTGGCATTTGCGCCTTTTCGGCTCTCCGACGGCTCAAGACGGCCCAAGAAGCCCCCAAGATCGCCCAAGAGGCCCCCAAGAGAGCCCCCTGATGGCCCAAGTGGCCTCCAAGATGGCCCCTAGAGGGCCCCAAGACGGCCCAAGAGGCCTCCAACACGCCCAAGATGGCCTCCAAGACGCCCAAGATGGCCTCCAAGACGGCCCTGGAGCGCCCCAAGAGGGTCCCCCGTTGGCCCAGAAAGGCCCCCAAAACGGCTCCCGACGGCGTCAGACGTGCCAGGAACCCACCAAGATGGCCGAAGTTGGCTCGAAGCTGGCCCAAAAGGGCCCAAGAGGCCCCCAAGAGGGCCTCCAGGAAGGCCAAAAGATGCCAAAATCACTGATTTTCCCAAGGTTTTTGATGGATTTGGGCATTTCCCTTCTTTCGGCCTTCCGACGGCCCGAGACGGCCCAAGAGCCCCCAAAGATCGCCGAAAGATCGCCCAAGAGGCCTCCAAGACGACGACGATGACCATCAAGACGCCCACGTGTTCCCCGAAGGCTTTCCAAACCGATTCGGGGAACACATGGTCCGATGGCTTGGCAGGTCTGGCCTCAACGTTCGGCCACATAGGCGCTTCCACAAAGGCAGGGGGCGGCGGTGATTCGCCGTAGGCGTCTTCGATATCCATTACAGTGTGCGCGCTGGCGGTTGCAAACGCAGGCGACGACGACGACGACGACGACGACGACGACGACGACGACGGCGACGAAGCCGACGACGACGGCGGCGAGGCCGATGACGACGCTTGGGAGCCGCACATGTACACATACATTATGGTATTCAGGCCTTCGCCCCAAACATAGTGTATACTTACCCCGAAGAACATCCAACCCGAATAATACCCGCTATTCCGAAAAATAAATCAGAGTGGGGGGGCCGACCGTTCATTCACTGTCCCTGGGCGCGTGGCCGAAGTGAGGTTCAACGGTGCGGGTTGTTGCTGCTATTGTTGTTGCTGCTGTTGCTGTTGTTGCCGTTGTTGGTGTTGTTGAATTTGCTGTTGGTGTTGTTGGTGTCATGTTGCTGGTGCTGTTGCTGGTGTTGATGTTGTTTATGTTGCTGTTATTGTTGTTGGTGTTGTGGTTGAACTCACACTACTGAAGAATAAATAATTCGTGTTGGTTCCCCCTCCGGTGATCATTGTGTCTTTCAATTGGCGTGCTTCCCATGGGATACACACCCTGATTTTTAGCAACGAAAATCACACGGGTCAAACTGCACCCTTGGCCGCCGGGCTACAACACCAACAACAACGGCTCCCGCCTGGGACTTCCTCACAATTTAGCCAGGACCCCCGCTCCCGCCTGAGACTACCTCGCCTTTTACTCTGGAATCGCGCTCTCGCTGGAGACTTGCTTGCGATTTGTTCAAGAATCGCGCTCTTGCGTTGGAGTCCCCCGCACTGCACTCAAGCGCCGCGCTCCCGACATTCAGGCACCCAGGAGTCGCGCTCACGCCCACGACTCCCTCTCAGCTTACCTATGAATCGGGATCTCGCAGCCCTTCGTGGCCCCGTCGCAGCCGTTCGTGAGCCCGTCGCTGCCCTTCGTGGCTCCGTTGCAGCCCTTCGTGGCCACTCGCTGCCCTTCCTGGACCCATCGCTGCCATTCGCGGCCCCGTTGCAGCCCCTCGTGAGCCCCTCGCTGCCAATCGTGGCCCCGTTGCAGCCCTTCGTGGCCCCCTCGCTGCCCTTCGTGGCCCCGTTGCAGCGTTTCGTGGCCACTCGCTGCCCATCGTGGCCCCGTTGCACTCCTTCATGGCCCTCTCGCTGCCCATCGTGGCTCCGTTGCACTCCTTCGTGGCCACTCGCTGCCCTTCGTGGCCCCGTTGCAGCCATTCGTGGCCCCCTTGCTGCCCTTCGTGGCCCCGTTGCAGCCCTTCGTGGCGCTTTCGCTGCCCTTCGTGGCCCCGTTGCAGCCCCGCTACCCCATCGTGGCATCGTTCCTTCGTGGCCCCCTCGCAGCCATTCGTGGCCCCGTTGCAGCTCTTCGTGGCCCCCCTCGCTGCCCTTCGTGGCCCCGTTGCAGTCCCGCTACCCTTCGTGTCCTCGTTCCTTCGTGGCCCCCTCGCTGCCCTTCGTGGACCCGTTGCAGATCGCGTTATCGCTCGAGGTTCCCCCGCGATTCATTCAGGACGCGCGTCAATAACCCACTTGCTCGACCTGGCCGCCTGGGCCCGCCTTCCCGACCCGCCCGTTAGGGCCTATCAGCCCGATCTGCCCGTCTGGTTTTGCCACCTGTTTTCTGCTCTCGGCCCCCCTTTTGCCACTTTCTCTCGTGCGCCATCATCCTCCTTTCCCCTTGTCCGCTCCCTTGCCTCAGGGGCTGCACAACATAAACGCTGCAGGTAAGGAAGAGATGCCCCCAAGGCGGTACGATCGAAGACGAAGAGGGCGGGTATCGAGGGTTTGAAATATACGTGTTGAATGACACGTCAACAGGTAAGAGCAATCAGTATCGAAATGATTGGTGTTGTTCGTGGTGGTGGTGGTGAACTCTCACTCCTGGAGAATGATTATTGTTATGTGCGTGTTTCAATTGAAGCGCCCCTCGTGGGGCGCGTACCCTATTCTTTATCAATGAAGGTGATCCTCTTCCAACTGCGCTGTTTGGGTCCCGGCTAGACCAACAACGGCTCCCGCCTGATACTTCCTCGCAATGGATTGAAGAATCGCGCTCTCGCGCGGGACTTCCTCACAATGTATGTACACATCGCGCTTTCGCGTGGGACCTCCTCGCAATCTATTCAAAGGATGCACCCACGGCGCTCAGGAATCACGCTCTCGCTCTGTGCTTTCTGTTCTCACAATGTACTTGGGAATCGCGCTATCGTTTGAGACTTCCTCGCAATTCATGCAGGACCCACGCTTCAGCAACCCGCCTGCTCGACCTGGTCGCCTGGGTCCGCCTTCCCGACCTGCCCGCTATGGTCTGCCCACCCGATCTGCCCGTCTGGTTCTGCCACTTGGTTTCTGTTCCGTGCCCCCCTTCTGCTAATTTATCTCGTGCTCCAATGTTCTCCCTCCCCCTTCCACCCGTCTTCTCTTCCCCTGTTCTAGGGGCTGCACTAAATGCACGTAGCAAGTAAGGAAAATATGTCCCCAAGGGGGTACGATCGAAGACGACGAGGGCCGGTACCACCAAGGGCTTGGGACATACGTATTGATTGGCACGTGAGCAGATAGAAACGAACAGTCTTAAAATGGTTGTTGCTGTTGTTGGTGTTGCTGCTGTTGTTGTTGTTATTGTTGTTGTTGCCGCTGCTGCTGCTGTTGATGTTGTGGTTGCTGTTGTTTTTTGTTGTCGCTGTTGTAATGTTGTTGTTTGTTGTCGTCGTCCCCCCCCCGCGACCCGGCCCGCGACCCACCCGCGACCCACCCGCGACCCGGCCCGCGACCCACTCGCGACCCAACCAACGACCCGCCCGCGACCCACCCGCAACCCACCTCGCGACCCACCCACATTGCTTTAACGAAGAATCGGCGCCTGCGGCGTGCTCGTTGCACGATATGCAGAAATTAGGCGCCCGCGGCGGGCTTTTTTCAGAGCCTCGCAGACTGCTGACGTCCCCGCCGCCCCCTCATTCTTCTCCGCGACTGCAGGGTGCTACGTCTCCACTACCTTGTGCGCACTGGCGGTTGCGAACGCAGTTTCATGGTCAGGCTGCTGTCCCCGAGGCGCTGACGAGGCCAGCGACGACAGCGACGAGTCGGAGGTAAGGCGGCCGGACCGAGACTGGCGGCACGGAGGAAGGGGTGGCCCGAAGGGGGAGGGAGAGGAGGAGGAGGAGGAGGAGGAGGAGGAAGAGGAGGAGGAGGAGGAAGAGGAGGAGGAGAAGCAGAAGGGGGAGGAAGAGGAGGAGGAGGAGGAGGAGGAGGAAGAGGAGGAGAAGGAGGAAGACGTGGAGGAGGGGGAGGAGGAGGAGGAGGAGGAGGAGGAGGAGGAGGAGGAGGA